AGTACTTCCTGGGATTTCAAGATATTGCACGTGGTACAAATGACGATGAGGGATTGGTTTATTACTTCATGAATAATTAATGAGTTTTTGAAGACTCTTTTCTAGTTTTCTCTGTTACCAATACAATCTTTTGTTTGTCTGTCTGTCTAAGCTAAAGTAGAAACAAGTTGGAAGTCAAAGACTTGTACACATGTTGTGAAGCGTCCGTAGTAATAATATATCCAAGCCTACACATGGACAGTAGTAACAATTAATACGGATTTCTCCACAAGAAATGTTTGGATAAAGTAATTTGTTGTTACAATATATATCCCGTAGTCCGTTAGAGCGTTTTGTCAAACTCATCACCCTCTTTAAACCACTTGTGCAATAAATTCTCCGTGCGAAGTGGGTCCTCCAGGAATCGCCCGTTTTTTTTTTTACAAAATTTCTCAAAATATGAGAATATTTCTTACAAATCAAAATATTATCTTATTTTTGGATAGTCGCTGTGAATCCAAAGTAATTTTGTAGTCGGTTGCCTTCTGATCTTTACAGTCTTGAAAACCTTGGAACCTTCCTCGTGAAACTAAATCCCTGCGAACTTATGTCCGCGTATCTAACCAAGTATCTTATTTTTCAGGTTTCATCATCGTTCCCAAACCATATAATTCATCAAATTCAGTTAAGTATGCTTAATACTATTTACACATATCACTATAAACAGTCGTGAAAAGGTTTGTACATCTAACTAATCGAACACAGGTAAGTAAATTTGATGGTAAGTATGAATTTGCTTATTATTGCTATGGGTTCTGATCAAGTGGTGGAGTTGTCGYTTTGTCGTTAATCGTAGGCTCGAAGAACTTCACGCTTCGAGCTGTTCCGATAAGCGACCGTATCCATTTTAACGCTACCAGCAAACCTAGTTGGTAGACAAAAAGAACAACTTATGCCTTACAAGAACTGTAAAAGGCTTGTGAGGTCTATCAGTATTTTATCTACAGGTCTTCGAATTGATCCGAATATTCTGAACGATTTCCGAAACAKGTTTTTTT